CCCGGGTTGACTGGGAGAGAATGCCTAAAGGCATTAAGTTCGCCCTTTGTAATCCTTGTTTAAGGTAATTGCAATAAAGTATAAATAAATAAAATAAAATAAACTTTTTAAAATTGTATTAAGCATTTACATTCCTTAAACAATATTTACCGAGTTATTAAAATTACATAACTTACACACAATTACACAATATTTACAAAACGAATATTTTTAAAACATCCTTACGTATAAAACTGTAACGTAAAGTTTATTTGTAAAGGTTACAAAGCGGGGATGGGTTGAATGAATTTAAAAGATATAAAATATACTGTTAGAAGGAGAGACTTGTAATGCGACGTTGTGGCAACGAATGAAAAAGCCTCTGAATGTATGAATAAGTCAGTTGTAATTGTATAGGATGTTACAAATTTTGTTTCTTTTTTTATTTAATTACTTTGTTTGAAAAATATATTTTTTTAATTATTGATTTTTCAACGTCATATTTTTTTATGATTATTGGCAAATAGCGTTAGACGTGTATTCATTTATTGTAGCGGTTGTAACGACACACTGTATATGTATTCGTAACATTTTATTAGATGTAAGCGTGTATAACAAACAGTTTAAATTCCTGTGCTGAGCAGGTATAAATGAACCTGAAAAACAATCTATAATGTAGGCTTGGTGGTCACACATACAGTATAGTAGTTATTTTCTTTTTATCCTGTTCTATTTTGGAGTGCATGGATCGTTCTTCAGTTTGAGTTAAATTTATTGCAAAAACATGTATTGTGTATGTGCGGGATAACTTAGTTTAATAGTGTTTGTATAAGTAATTTACTATTTAATTCTTGTAACGTAAGTCGAAATAATTGCTTAAAACTTGCTTAAAACTTGCCTATTTTAGATTGTCTATAAAAATGTCTGTATAACGAAATACTATAAGATTTTAATTGTATAACTGTTTTTATATGACTATTAACGCATATGTTGTGAAATTAGTGCGATAAAATAATTAGGGAAAGAGTGTATTTTCATAGTCATCGTTATTAATTAAATTTAATCATTTGTAATCTAGTCATAAGACCTCGAATTCTTTAAGGTAACGCACCAAGAGGGTGCCAAATAAAAAATGTAAGCTCTCTGACCTCCCCTTCGCAGACCTCCCTTCACCACCTTAACCGGCAGCTCAGCCGAACACCACAACCCATCTGTCCACTCGTGGGCAGTGACGGACGTAAGCACGTTGCAGCCCAAGACAGGGCTGACATTCTGGCAGAGCACTTAGAAGGGCAATTCGTGCCCAATACATCGGCCCCAGGCGCCATTGCGTTCCACAAGGAAGTGGAGCGGCACATACAAGTGTTCCTGTCGGAGCCGGTGCCACGGCTGGATGGTGGACTTTTCATCACTCCGGCCGAAGTGCGTAGAGCCGCGAGTCATCTCGCGCTCCGCAAGGCACCCGGCACCGACGCAATCACGACGTTGGCGATAAGGCAACTACCGAAAAGGGGATTAGTGGCGCTGTGCCGCCTGTACAATGGTGTACTGCGCACGGCGCACTTCCCCTCTGAGTGGAAAACCGGCAAGATCATCGTCCTGCCGAAACCGGGCAAGGACCGACGACTTCCGGCGAGCTACCGGCCAATCACGCTACTGCCGCACGTAGCAAAACTCTTCGAACGGTTGCTGCTGCGGAGAATAGTTCCCTGCATCGAGCTACGCAGGGAACTGTTCGGTTTCCGCAGCGGCCACTCCACCACAGCGCAGCTGGCCCGAGTGCTGCACTATCTTGCGGTCCAGTACAACAGGGGCCGCATCTGTCTGGGGGTCCTTCTCGACATGGAGAAGGCCTTCGACAGAGTGTGGCACGAGGGTCTGCTGCACAAGCTGTTGGAAAACACCACCTCCCACCGTGCGCTCGTGCGGTTAGTAGCGTCATTTCTTCAGGACCGGAAGTTCGTCGTACACGTCAAGGGAGCCGACTCGGCGGTACGATGCATCAAAGCCAGTGTACCACAAGGTAGTTGTCTGTCGCCACACCTGTATGCGGTGTACACGGACGACATTCCCACCTTGGAGCAAAACGCCTCCGACTGGGATGAAGACGTACTGTCGGCCCTGTACGCGGACGACAGTGCGTTCTTCACGTCTTCTCACGTCGCGGCGATTGCGGTGAGGAAAATAAATTTTATTTTATACATTAAAAACCAACCCACGCTTGAGCTGCGAGGTCAGGCGATTACCAACCAGAACGTCATAAGGTACCTTAGATGCCGGATAGACCGCTCGCTGTGCATGGCTCCCCAAGTCGGACACGCCGTCCGACAAGCCAGAGCAGCTCGAGCCATGCTGTACCCTATCCTGGCATCCAGGTTACCGATCAAGACCAAACTCGGCGTCTACAAGACGTACGTCCGTTCGCGCCTGACCTACGCCGCTCCGGCGTGGTATGGTCTGGTTTCCGCCTCGCAGAGGCGCAGGCTCCAGGCGCAGCAGAACCTCGCCCTTCGAGTAATCGTGGGGGCCGGGCGCTACGTCAGGAATGACGTAATCGCCTGCGATTTAAAAATGGAATCCATCCAGGAGTTTGTGGTCCGGTTGGCCCGTCGCATGTACGATCGGGCCGACAACGGACCACACCCACACCTCAATAACATCGCACCCCTCCACGCCCGTCCTCCTGACGGGCGCCCGCTCCCACGAGAGCTACTGCGGTCGGAGGCCACTGGGGAGCCGGACCCGACCGCACTTCCGCCGTTGAGAAGACGATGTCGTCCACGTGTTACACACCGCGTGTAACGCTGTACATCCGCCAGTGCCGCTACCGCGGTCAGAGTTAGGGATGACCGTCGGTCATCCTTACCACCGACCAGCCTTCGCTGGTCGAGATTATGTCCGAGGCATGGGGGTAGCCCCGATACTCATTTAAAAGCAGGCCTCGCGCCAGCTTCGTACATCATCGCTCTCTGATTGGATACCAATACGACAACCAATCAGAGAGCAGGAATTCATTTCCACAGGATCGTATAAATATAGCGGCGTTTCGGGGCATCATCGCAGTCGACGAGCATCAAGATCTACCAGTGGAACAAGCAACTAGAAGAAGTCAGCAAGAAAGAAGCCCTGCAGCCTGGAAGAGGAGGAGCCTGCAGCCATTAGAAGAACGTTTTATTGCATAAGAAAAAACTTGTACAAACGTCTGAAAATAAACAGTGTTCTTTCTGTCTTCACGACATTCTTGTTTCTTTACCAATCCAGCACACTGAAACGTGCATTGCGCACACTGTAGCACCTAAAAGCACTTAAGTATAATCAGTGAATTATTTTCTTCACGTGGCTGCTTGCTTGATCTCGGACTGCTTCTGATATGACAGAATAGTAGTAAAAAAATCTGTTCTACCTGATTTATGTCCTTTTTCGCGGAAAGCAGCTTAAAAGCACGAAATTCTCGTTTATTTTAAAAACCGTTTTTTTTTATTAAGCTCTGCCAACTTCGCTTTTTGAATACTGCACCATTCACATTTTAATTCTGTTAAGAATTGCTTGCTTATACAGGGAGGCTTTTTTTTTTAATTTTTTGAAATTAAATTCTAGACATAAATGATGTTATATAAAAAAAATAATAAATATTTAAAATCACTAGTAATTAATTAATTACATTCATTTTAACTTATCTCAGAAAGTGCGTGATTTATGGCAACTCATTTATTTTACGCGCCATCATTCATAACTAACACGCACACAAGTTCGTTTCAAATTTATACGAAGCGTTTATGAATGACTACCGCATTGTCAACAAGTTCTGTTTTTAGGGAATAGAAAGGCAATTTTTTTTAAAAAAAAATTGTTTTTATTTCAATAAACGATTATACTACCGAGTCCCGAACCTACTGTGTGAATTTGGGCACCTTTAGAAAAGCCACCCTGTATAGGCTTGATTGATTTACCAGCCTTTCATAATGAATACACTTAAATAAAACGTATGACATATCGTCAATATCAATATCAATTAATGTAACCGCCAAAATGACGAAATTAAGTTAAATATACAGTTCGTCTGCAAATTTTTCGCTCCATCGATTGGTATCTTTAAAATCTCGATATGATGATGGCGATTACTTTAAAAAAAATCCGACTGTTTTTAATAATTTTCATACATTTTTGTGTATGATATACATTTTATGAGAATGATCAAAGTATGGGTTAATGTAACGATGAATTTGGCCCAATGTGAAACAAAGTCGGTAATGTAAGAGTCAATCTTGTAAAAATGTAATAGCGAACTCATCATGCTGGCAATAAATACAATAGAAATACATCAGAATATTATTTCACTTCGTTTATAGCATGGTATTTATCAGGTAGACAAGGATAACTCCACTGTGATAGCTAATTTTGATCTCTAGAAAGTCCTTAATACCCCACATGGCCAGAGTATGCTGCTTTACTACTTAAGAAAGTGTGCAGTTTATAATTTGACTCTGTTATGAACCCAAAACTCAAAATGGATTCTGTTACTACACCTGGGGAGAATACGATGGAAAAAGGGGGAGTTAGAACAAGGATAATTAAGAAAACCTATTTAGGGTAAAGGTTGGCTAAATGGTGATATATAGCAATATGGTGATAATTTTGCTTTCAACGGTCTTTATAATGCCCAGCGCGAGTTTTGCGTTCATTCAATGAACCGAAGGCAAGTATGTTCATCTCTCTTTCATTTGGCCGCTGGTCGCTGTCCTCACCGGACGCGGTTTATTTGTTTCGCGCCGAAATATGCGAAAAAATGGAGGATAATCGGTACGTAAATATCACCAAATTACCAAAACATTACATAGCTTATTTTTATTTTATTTCAAGCTTAATTTGAATGGGGTTTTCAGGGTAGATGAAGCTCGAAATGTTGTATCTTTCTGTTAAAAAAAATATCGGGTTGTGTTTCATTAGTCCGGGTTATAGTCTTACGTATTGGATGATTTTTCTTACAGGAACAAGTCCGGAAAGGCAAATAAAAAAGGAAAATGAAGGGCGAGAAACGCAGAAATTATGACTTTTCACGCTTCAAGGAGGCTTATATGAAAGTTATAAAGGATAATTGGTCAGTGTACAAGGCGTCGAAGGAATGTGGCATACCGTGGTCTACTTTGAGAAGACACATAGCTACTCATGGAGGTGAAAGTTTCGACTTACCTAAACTTGGGAGACCATTCACATTAGACAGCGACCTTGAATGTAAGTTTGTTTCCTACATAATTAAAATGCAAGAACTAGGATTTGGTCTCAGCGTCACAGACATCAAAGCTAAATGTTACGCTTTAGCAGTCCAAGCAGGAAAAGATCACCAGTTTAACGATGCTAAATGTAAAGCTGGGCCTTATTGGTGGTGGTCGTTTAAAGAACGGTACAGGCTTTCATTGCGCACGCCAGAAAAGCTTGCAGCATGCCGAGCTGTTACTGCTAACAGACAAAACATTGACGATTTTTATAAAAAGCTACTGGACGTCGTTATTGCGCTGGATATTCTGCAAAAGCCTGAAAGGATTTATAACTGTGACGAAACCGGTGTAACGTTCGTCGTAAAACCGTCAAAAATTGTCACTCAAACTGGAAAGAAGGTAATTTACAGTAGAACTTTTGCAGAGAAAGGTGTCACCCAAACGGCTTGGGTGCTGTAGTGCGAGCGGAGCGTCTGTACCCCCCTTGATCATTTTTAAATGTGTCCGAATGGTCAATGATCTAGCGAATGGTGCTCCGGAAGGGTCTATCGTGAGATTATCCAAAAACGGATGGATTAACTCGTGAACTATTTCTGGAGTGGATGCATCATTTTGAAGCTCATATTCCACCAGCTAGACCGGTACTTTTAATCATGGATTCTCACTCTACCCATGTCAGCCAAGATGTTATAGATTTCGCTACAAAAAATGGCATTCATCTATTCACTTTTCCAAGTCACACAAGCCATCTCCTGCAACCTCTGGACGTTTCTGTTTACAAGTCACTGAAAAATGCATGGGCTAAAGTGCTAAATGATTATAAGCTTCAACATCCAACGAGTGCTCCAACAAGGCTTGACTTTTGTCGCCTATTAACACCAGCCTACGAGCATGCATTTCAGCCGTCAATAATTATGAACGGCTTTCGAAAAAGTGGCATTGCGCCATTTGATCGAAATGCCATTTCTGATGAAAGTATTGCCCCATCATTAATGCAGCCAAGTGACCTACAGTCACAGAATATTGAATCTTCCACTGATAATGCCCAAGCTTCTGCTGTCAATCGTGAAACTGCGTCACCTTCAGTTTTCTCTTTACTTTCCGTTCCTGAGGTACCACAGTCTTCTTCTTCTAGTACCCGACGAGCTAAGCGGAATCCACAGGCCCGATATTTAACACCTCAAAGCACGAACAACATGGACAGTCCTGAAGAAAACATCGTCGCCATATCAAACGAAACCACAGTCGCCGTTACCAGTGAGGAGACCGTTACCTCGATTCGTGTCCCCTCTGCTTCTCCAACTCCTGGACCTTCAACTGAAAGCAACCTGAAGCGTAAACTACCAAGAGTCAAGGTAGAGAAAACACCAAAATCAAATAAAAGTACGATGTGTGACTATTGCGGCGTTCACTACTCCCAAGATGTGGCACTTAGGAACGGAGCTGTATGGGTAGAGTGCATGAGCTGCGGCAAATGGTACCACCAAGAATGTACTGGCACAGAGTCGCCACAGTTCCTGTGTGATAATTGTGATAAAGTAGACTTTTCAGGCACTGATGACAGTGATTGGGCACCTGAATAGACTTGTCACCATATTGCCACATATGGTATCACCAAATTGCCCCCGTATCTCCATGTTGCCAACACCAAAAAGATTTGTTTGATCTGATTTTCCTATTAATGTTTAAGAAATTAAGTTGCTGTGATTAATAATTATTGAAAAGAAAAGTCTGATTATTGTAATAAGTAAAGAGGTTTTCTAATAAATGTTAATTTTGAAATAAAATTTTAAGTTCTTTTCTTATTATCACCATAAAGCCAACCTTTACCCTAAATGAGATGGGTGTAATTTATAATGAAAAACTTGAAAATTGTTGGTATTCATCAAAAAGAATTTTTAACTTTAATTACTAAAACTATATAATTTATTCTAACCTTGCCAATATTTTAAGAGATTCAGTACGTAACTTCTACAGCCAATACATCACAACTTATGTCGACGTCTTGAAAACTCTGTGAGTTACGTTATAGCTGTTATTATTTATTACAAAAAATCTTAACGTAACGCGATATTTAAAAAATAAAGTTAACGTAACCACCGTGCCATCTTCTAAATTATAATAGTAGGCTTCTTATGGTTTCTTTCAGAAATCAGATGTCAAAATTTTGAAAAAAATGCTCCAAACAGCGTTGCGATAGGATAAGTATGCAAAAAGTTTCAACTATTTTTGTGAATCGTAATTTACTTTTTTGCCTCCTGTAAAGTCGCCTTTTGGCGGTTACATTAATTGATATTTCAACTGACGATATGTTTTTGCACCATAGATGACTGCTAGCTTGATTTTCTGTCTGACGTATGTTGCTGTTATACCTACCTCTTTCTCCTAAGATTTTATTTGACCAATTCATTACCTATATTTATGCCTCGAAAACACTTAAAAAGCACTTAATTTTAATGTAGTTGTTTTCATTCAATTATTATTTCAAGTTACTCAGTGAGCTTGTTCTAAAGCAAGAAGGTCACAAAAATACCAAAAATTGTTATTTAAATGCAATGATGTTTAATAATATAGATGACTCATGTCCATATTGCGCGGCGTCCATAAATTGATCCGCTTTATGTTATATGACATATTTAAATGAATGTGGCAGATGATATAGAACGTATGATTCGAAAAGAGATAGCAGTCTATAGAATTACACAAATTGGTGTAATTTGGGCGCCTCAATTTCGGTGCGGTAGCGTCTTCTTTGTATATAATATTTTGGGAGCCGGCAGGAGGGAATAATTAAGATGCAGTACAAAGAACAAGCCGTGTTGAGAAAACCATAATCTTTTTATTGTCACTCGTTGCTATAGAAATTTGTCAATAATAGGGTAATGCTAGACCGATGAGAGTAAGGGTGTAAAAGATAAGAGCGATGCTACACAGTAGCAAATGAGTCGCCACATCACCCCCCTACGGAAAAAAATAAGTATACATTGAAGGCAAAACAAGTATAAAATGTAACAATCAAATAATTATACACTGTTATTATAAAAGTACAAGAAACATTATTTAGGATAATTTTTAACTAATGGAATTTTAATTTATACAACGAAAAAATAAACATTGGAAACTTAAAATTGAAAAAACTCTGCTTTAACAAAAATAACGTATTAAAAACTAGTACTTATAAATCTAAAATATCTTTAAATTTAACTTTGCGACCTGACCGGGTTGTTACAGGCTGTGCGGGCGTTTTAATGGGCACGGCCGTTTGGCTAATAGGAGGTGAAAGAGTCGGAAGGACTGGGGGCTCCGGTGCCAAGTTGTTAGGGGACGGATTGCCGTCTGGGTCAGGTGCAATATACGCAGGTTTTGTTCTGTCGATGCTAACCTCAGATCTTCGGTCAGAAATGTCTAAGGTAAGTGTCTTTTCAGATCTCTTCAACACTCTGTAGGGGCCTGTATAAGGTGGCTGTAGAGGGCGTCGAACGGAATCTTCGCGGAGGAACTCGTGAGTAGCATCAGGTAAGTCCTTGAAAACGAAAGTTTTAGAATTCGTGTGACGTGATGCTGGAACGGGGCGAAGTTCTGCCATCCGTTTTCGCAACTGTGCAACAAAATCATCGTCCACGGTCTGAGGGGAATTGCTAGCCACCAGAAACTCGCCTGGTAGGCGTAGCGGTTCCCCATACAAAACTTCTGCAGCTGACGTTTTGATGTCATTTTTGAGTGCCGCCCTGATTCCGAGAAGAACGAAAGGTAGGGCATGGTACCAAGAACTCTTGTGACACATTAAAGCGGCCTTTAAATGGCGGTGGAAACGCTCTATCATCCCATTAGCTTGGGGATGATAGCTCGTAGTACGAACGCGTTTTGTGGCTCCTAAATCCATCAGTCTGTTGAAAAGTTGGGACTGTTGTGACAGTGATCGGTACACCAAAGCGAGCGATCCAGCCATGGGTGAATTGATCAGCGACTTCTACTGCGGTTATCGACGACATGGGTAAAACTTCGGGCCAGCGTGAGAAACGGTCTACTGCTGTTAGGCAATAAGTGAATCCGTTTGAAGAAGGCATCGGTCCAATAATGTCCAGGTGAACATGACGGAATCTGCCTGAAGGTGTGCTAATGTTGCCAAGCGGTGAAACGACATGGCGCGTTACCTTGCTGCTCTGGCAGGCGAGACACTCGCGTGCCCAGGAGCGGCAGTCTTTAGCAATGCCTGGCCAAACATAGCGGTCGCTAATGAGGCGCGCGGAAGCGCGTGCGCCGGGGTGGCTGAGACCATGTAGGCGATCGAAGACGGCTCGCCGATATTGTTTTGGCAAAAAAGGGTCTAGGTTTGCCTGTTGACACATCACACAAAACGGAAATGTTGGACCCAGGTATGAGGGTTGGCTCTAACTGTAAAGAAGAATGGACCTTTACGGTTTTAAGTTCGTCGTCCGTCTGCTGAGCTTTTGCCAGGGCTGCGAAATCGTCATCGAGCGTGATAGCCTCAATGCGGGATATTGTGTCAGCAACGATGTTGTCTTCCCCCTTCACATGTTTGACATCAGTTGTAAACTGGGAAATAAACGTGAGTTGGTTAAGTTGAGCAGGGGGCAATTTTTCACGGCGTTGGACGAAAGCATAAAGAAGCGGCTTGTGGTCCGTGTAGATTGTCGCGTGTTGTGCCTCTAGTATATGCCGGAAATGCTGTACGGCCGCGTACACTGCGAGAAGTTCGCGGTAATACGCGGGCCATGTACTTTGGCTCTGTGTTAGCTTTTTGCTAAAGAATGCCAACGGCTGCCAGCCTTGATCAGACCTTTGCTGTAAGGCAGCGCCGACATGAGTGCTGGAGGCGTCCGTGTACAACCCTAAACGAGCATTTCGTTGCGGATGTACAAGCATGGTGGCCTCTGAGAGACTGTCGCGACACTCGTAGAAAGCACGCTCCAAGTCTGCTGTCCAGGGCATAGCTTTTGAACCTTTTAGGTTGCTGACTGTTAAAAAATCCACAAGTGGAGCTTGGAGCTTGGCGGCTTTGGGAAGAAATTGGCGGTAATAATTTACCATCCCCAGGAAGCGTCTCAAACCTTGAGCTGTTTTGGGAAGCGATAACTCGCGGAGAGCAGCGATCTTCTCTTCAGGTGGGCAGATACCATCCTTGGTTATCTTATAACCTAGGAAGATTACCCCACGTCCGACGGTACTTGCCACGTCCGACCGCTCCCTTAGTTTAAAGGTTTGGTAGCTCCTTCAATGGTCCAGCTGCATCCTGGTATGCATTTGCTTGCTTTGTTGCCGAAACGATCGTGGTACCAGCAAAGCTTCTGATTACGTGGGCGTGAGCGCGATCGAGAGCGGCTCCGCTTTTGATTAACGCGTGAGCTCCCAGATCGTTCATGGGTGTTTGTTCTGAGCGCTGAGACTGTTCGGGTCAATTCCTCGATCTGCCGCTGCATTGACGCGAGAGTGGGCTCAAAGGTATGATGCGCCGAAACCTGGCTCACGGTGGTAGGCCTCTCGGTCAACTCCACCAACTGGTCGGCCATCTCAGCCAACTCCGTCAAGTCCTGGATCTTCTGTGCGGCCAACACAATTTGAACCTGCCGGGGAAGCCGATTGGCCCAAATTGATCGCAGCAAGTCAGCGGGGAACGATTGCCCAGCCAGACTCTTCAAGTGTCGCATGAACGAAGATGGCTTGCGGTTACCTAACTGTTCCTTTTCTAGTAAGTGCCGCTCCTTCTCCTCGAAGGAATCGGAGAATCTAGATATGATTGCGCTTTTTAAAGTTGTGTATGGTTGCAACTCGGGAGGATGTGTGATAATATCTTCGACCTCCTTCGTACACTCGGTATCTAAATGCGCCACGGCGAAATGAAACTTCGTCATTTCGACGGTAATTTGGTTAATGTGGAACTGCGCCTCTAGGCTAGCAAACCACAATGCGGGCCGATCCTTGCTAAAAGGCGGGGTCCTAATTGCGACCCTGTTTACGTAAATGGGACTGCCACCGACTAGTGCAGTAGCATCACCCTCGTTGCCAACGTGGCCCTCTGAATCGTTAGATTCTCCTTGACTCGCCATGGTTTAAAGGTAAAATCAGAAACGGTCAAATCGCAAAAACGCTTTACACATACACGCAGTGGAACAAATCGGTAAATACACAAACGAAACAATTTCAGTATTGCGCAGCAAACGTAATAATAAAATTGGTAGAAAAGTAAAGTAAGTCTAAATACAACATAAAATGATACTATCTTAAGTGTAAAACAGCTCTAAACTTTCACTTGAACGAGTGTAAACGCAGCATCCGTCGTAAGAGAAAGAAAAATGGCCGGCCTCGATGCGAAAAATGCCGGCTCAGCGCTACATAGAATGGACAAAATACGAGTCCAATAGCGATGTAGATTATCGTAGATGCGTTTACAGTTGTTGCGATTATAGCTTCATGGCTGTTCTGTACAATCTCCCTCGCAGGCTATACCATAGTCTCACTCGCAGGTGGCTTTTCTAGTCTCCCTAGCAGACTTCTCTGCACGGAGGGAAAAACAAAAAGAAGGAAGCGTACCTAGGCGGCGTCGCAGAATCGAACAAAC